ACGATAGGAAACCTGTAGATAACTCTTCTCCTAGCTGGTGAATACGGCCCACTGCAGTGCAATCTCTGTCTGTAGACAGTGGCTCAGACTCAGGTTATGATTGGTTAGGTTGAATCATGGAAAAACAAAAAACAAAAACAAAAACAAACCATCTCTTTGGTCAAACCCTTACCCCAAATGATTGAGATCTCCCCAACCTATTTTTAAGGCAGTCAATAGTTTCCAGTCAAGTGTGAGAATTGGCTAGGCTATGTGGTATATGGTTATATGGCAGTCCTGCTTTCAGAGGCCTTAGAAATGGGAAGTGGAATAAGCAAAATTCCCTGGACTCTGCTGGCAAAAATGATTAAAATGTTTAAGCTGGAGGAGATTTGTTCAGTGGCATCTGACTCTCCATGACCCTGTGGACCATATGGTCTATGGGTTTTCTTGGCAAGGATACTGGAGTGGTTTGCCATTTCCTTCTCCAGTGGATTAAGGCCAACAGGGTTAAGTGACTTGCCCAGGGTCACACAGCTACTAAGTATCTGAAGTTGGACTTGAACTCAGGTCTTCTTGACTCCAGGCCCATCACTAGCTCTATCCTCTGAGTCATCTAGATGCCCCTGACTGAGAAATACTAGTGTTAAATTTTTCTTTGCAGATCTTTAAGTTGAAGAAACTATTTATTTTGCTCTCTGTCATCTAAATGCCTTTAGTACCCACCAAAAAGTGAATTTAGAACCATAGTAAAAAAAAAATTGCCCAAAGACTCTAGGGAGAAAGAGTAAGACTCTGTTTCCTTGTGTTTTGTCTTTTAATGTTTTATACAGTCAGCAATGTCTGTTAGTATTGTGTCCTGGTACTGTCTTCCAGTGGTCTGATCAGCCAAAGGGAATAGAGTGGCAGGAGTCAGAACTTTCAGCCACAAGGTTTCAAAGTTTTCAAAGGATGTAGTCTTATCTGTGTTCCAGAGAGAGATAGACAGAATGTGCAAGCATATTAAAAACCTTCTTTTGAGCAAAACTGAAAATGTTCTAAAACTTCAAGCTCTTTAAAGACTTTTCCCTTTAGTAAAATGAGTAGAACAAAAGCTAAAGCTTTTCTTGGGGAACTAGATTTGCAGGGTGGCTGAGAAGCTCACACTGACCTCCATGGCTTCCTTCTAGTCCCAACTAAAATCTCATCTTTTACTGGAAGCCTTTTCCAATCCCTTTTAACTCTAGTGCCTTCCCTCTGCTAATCATTTCCTATTTATCTTGCTCTCTATAAACTTGTTTGCAAGTTGTATCTGCCATTAGACTGTAAGCACCTTGAGGTCAGGGACTGCCTTTGTACACTCAGCGCTTAGCAGTGCTCCTGGCTAGTCATTTTCAGTTGTAGCTGACTTTTTGTGACCTCTTTTGGGGTTCTCTTGGCAGAGATGCCATTTCCTTCTCTAGTTCATTTTGCAGATGGGGACACTGAAGCAAACAGTAGCTCTTATCTAGTAGCTCTTATCATTTATACACACACGTATGTATATATGTATATATATGTATGTGTGTGTGTGTGTGTGTTTCTTGCAATGTGATTTTGGAAAAGCATCGTTAAAAAAAAGTGCTGTTGATTTGTGGAATGATACCTTAAGGGTTATGCATTTGTATCATTAGCAGAATAGCTTTTCTTTTGATCTGAATGCTGTGATTTGATTGATTTGTGAAAGTAATAACAAGCTAGCAATTCTTTTTAATAACAATTTTTGAAAATTTATTTATTTATTTTTAGTTTCCAACATTCACTTCTGTAAGATTTTGAGTTCTAAATTTTCTTCCTCTCCCTCCCCTCTCCCAAGGTGGTGTGTAATCTGATATACATTCATATTAAACGTATTTTCACATTAGTTATGTTGTCAAGAAGAATTAGAGCCAAAGGGAGAAACCACAAGAAAGAAGAAACAAAAAGAGAGAGAGCAAATAAGCTAGCAATTCTGTAACACTTTAGGGTTTACAAAGGGTTTTTATGCATGTAAATTGTTATATACACAAACTTTATAAATGTAAACATTCATAAACTTAATTCATTTGACCCCAACAACAACCCTATAAATATAAGTGCTATTGTCATCCCCATTTTACAGATGAGGAAACTGAGGTTAATTGACTTGTCTAGGGTCACATAGCCATTAGGGTGTGCATCTGAATTGAAACTGCATTTGAATTCAAGTCTTTCTGACTTCAAGTCCCTTACACTATGGAATGTGTCACTTACCACCTCTGGAAGACAGAGATGGACTTATCTTCTCCTTAAAGACTATCTTAGGTATTCAAATAAGTATACTCTGGTTTGCCAAAAAGGTGTTTGGGAAAAGTACCAGATGCCTTAAGAAGTCTCCCTGTCTATTGAGAAGTTCCGTAGGAACTTGCCAACCTCTTTGAAGCTTTGGCCTTGGAAAAGTAAAAAACTTATTAGTTTTATGAAAAAGCAGCTGTAGGAATGTGTGTCTAAGGAAATTTTAACATGAGATGAGAATCATCAGAAAATTGGTTTAAAGAGGAACTAAATTCAAAGGCTTTGAATGTTTTAGTAACTGTAAATTCTCAAGGTGACTTGAAGATTTCTTATGCAGACCAGTTACTGATTCAATAGTCATCAAGAAATGTCTAATAGTATTTTCCCGCTTTGAGGCATTTATCTGATGATATTAAGCAGAAGGATCCATTTTACAGGTCAGGTCATTCAGCATCTTTTTAAAAAATGATTCTTCCTCTAACCTTCAAATATCATCCATTATCATCTACAAGGCTTGGTAACGTAGAGAGAACAAATGGTAGTTGAAAATCGAAACTTTCAAAACTTTCAGATGAATTGCAGATACTCTGCCTTGATGTTCTTCCTATTGCCCTGATGATTATTATGAAGGTCAATATCAAGGCTTGCACTGGTTTTCACTGCGTGAAATAATTTCAGAAAAGGCAATATATTTGGGTTTTGTCAGATCCTACTAAATATGCTAAGTCTCATCACTTAAGCTGGAGCAGAATCTCCTAGGGAACCACAGCAAAGGGGATTGTGTAATGTGGAAAGTAGCAAGTGGATTGACTGGAAGACACCTCTGCAAATCTGTCCTTGAAATGAGGTGGAGGGTCCATCTTGGGTAACAAATGACATAGAAGTTAAAACCTCTAAGGCGCTGATTCATGGATAAATGTAAGCTGGCTGTGCCACACAGTTTGGGGACAGTGGCCAAGGACAGATAGATCCCTCAGACTCAGAATTACCAGGGAAAAACGTTTCCCAGAAGCAGACGACTTCAGACTTCATGCAGCAGACAACTCAACCCAAGAAGATGGAAGAAGAGCCCTCCTATCTAAACAGACATTAATATGCATTTATTGTTTCTTTTTGCCCTGTTTTAAAATTTTGTCGTTCGTTTTTTCTGTCAGTCACTTTTATTGTCCATTAGCTCTTAATGTGTCCTGACTAACTTTTGGAAGACAGCTAGGAGTCAAGATGAGTCCAGTTTGAATCCAGCCTCAGACACTTACTAGAGCTGTGTACCCTGCCACGTCACAACCTCTGCTTGCCTCAGTTTCCTCATGGGGATAATCATAGCACCTACCTCTAAGGGTTGATGTGAAGATCAAATGAGATATTGTAAAACGCTCTGTAAACCTGAAAGCACTATATAAATCCCAGCTATGACTACTACGATAATGAGTACTACTACTACTACTGCCTAGGAGACAGATTTAAGACAAAACCGGACATTCAAACCCAGGTCCTTCTTGTTTGACTTCCTTGGGAAATTACTGGAAATAATTCTTTAGTCTGTGTCTAGGGGCACTTGAGTGCCACAAAGATTCTATTCTTGAGATCCAGGTCCCTACCTCTAAATGACAAAAAATTTACTTTTGACAGTAGTCACTGCTATTCAAATTCATAGCTCCAGAAGCTGGAGAAAGGTCAATGTTTAAATTAATTAATTAATTAATTTTTGTTTTCCATATTCACTTTCATAAGATTTTGAGTTCCAAAGGTTTTTCCCCTCCTTCCTCTTCCCCTCCCCAAGACCGAATGCAGTCTGATACAGGCTATACACGTACAATCATATTAAACATATTTCCACATTAGTCATGTGGAAACCATGAGAAAGAAAACATGGCTAACTATTAGTTATAGCTTTTTTTTCTTTTCATTTTGGGGGTTGGGAGACAATGCTTAATCGAAAAAAAAGGTTTTTTAAAAAGTTAACTGAAAAAAACCTTAAAAATCCTTGGTTTTAAAATTTGGTGTTAAAAATTGAAATAAAAGCTTAAAGTGTTTAATTTAAACATAAGTTTAAAAAATAAAGTTCAAAATTCTTGCTTAAAAATCCTTGTTAGTTGAAAAATTTTAAGAATGCTTTTAAAATAAAATAAATAAGTTTAAAAATATTTAATTTTAAAAATAAGTTAAAAGTGCTTGTTAATTTAAAAAATAAGTTTGAAAATAAATGCTTGTTAATTGAAATAAGTTAAAAAGTTATAAGTATAAAAAAGTTTAAGTAGAAAGAAAAAAGTTAAAATTAAATCTTGTTAATTGAAAAAAATTTAAAAGTTTTTATTTGGAAAAACAGAAGTATAAAAAATGCTTAAGTGAAAAAAATTTAAAAATTGATGCTCCTTAAATAAAAAATACTTTTAAAAAATCTTTCAATTGAAACAAGTAAAAGTTGAAAGCGCTTGTTAACTGAAAAAATAAAAATTAATAAAAAAGTTTTAAAAAAATGCTGCAGATTGATTGGTCCGTGAGCATTGAACGGGACTTTTAAACTTTGTTTCTCCAGCTAAGCATGCCTTCTCTTCTTCTCTTTGCGCCTGCGCCTAGTCTCACAAGTCCCGCCCCCTCCGCAGAATGCCCCTCCCCTGCGCCTACGGACTTCCGCCAAGCTATAGCGGCAAAAACAACCCGCTCTGTAGCAAGCGAGCCTGGAATCGCCTGCGGGGGGCGGGTAAGCGACGAACCACGTGCTCGCCCGGCAGGTCGGAGGGTAAAGGTTGGAAAACATTTCCGGCAGAGGGTCTGCGCATGCGCGCCGGTTCCGGTGCTGCTTTACTCCACTCAGCCCGGAGCCGAGACCATGGCGGAGATCATCGAGCAGCATATAGAGGACCGACTCCCGGAGCTGCTGCAGCTGGAGCGGGTCGGGCTTTTCACGCGCAAGGAGATTAAGTGAGTTCGCCGCGGGTTTGGGGGGTGGTGTCCCGAGGGAGCGGCGGACGCGGGAGGCGGACCACGTGCGGCGGCCGACGTAACGTTTGCTCCTCGCAGGGGCAGATGGCGTGGGCGGCGTCCTTGCTTCGTGGAGGCTCCGCGCGCGGGCACTACTTGGCTTGGGCAGTGGGCGCCCCAGGCATCCTGTTCGCCTGCCCCCAGGTGTTCCACACTGCTCCTTCTGCTGGTGGAGCACCTGGCTTGTCGGGTCCCTTGTGTGACGCCGCCCCTTAGTGTCCGGGAGGCCAGTCTTGAAGCCGGCGGGAAGGCTCAGTGTCTGGAATGGGTGATTAGTCAGCGAGCCTTCTGGCTCCACCTACAGGCTAAAGGGAGCATTGCTTACCCCGCCGGGAGGGAGGGATGGAGATGCTCTTGGTACCTCGAGGATGCTGTCTGTCGTCATCATCTTTATCCTCAAAATCACCAAGCACTTACTAAGCCCCAGTTGTATTCCAGTCATTGTGCTAAGCACTGGGAGTAGATATAAAGAAAGGTTCTCAGGGACATTACAGTCTCACGGGACAGTATGCAAGCAACCATGTGCAAATGAGATATAGAAAAGGAATACAGAAAACATTTGGCGAGTGCCTGCTGTGTGCGGGCATTGTGCTAAGCAGTGGTAATAGATACAAAGAAAGATAGAAGCAGTGTCTGCTGTTCAAGGTGCTTAAAGTCAAATGGAGGAGACAGTATGCAGACAACTATGTACAAATTGCATATAGAAAGGACATATAAAGCATCTTATTAAATGTCTATTATATGCCAGGCACTGTGCTAAGGACTGGTAATAGATACAAAGAGGCATAAACAACCCCTGCCCTCAAGGAGCTTACATTCTAACATAGGAGACAACGTGCAGACAATTAATATGGTGTATATGGGAGACAGTCTTGGAGGGAAGATACTAGCCAAGTGGGAGGGAGTACCAGAAAATGCCTCCTGAAAACGGTGGGATTTGAGTTGAGACTTGAAGGAAAACAGGGTAGCTTAGGTGGAGGTCAGTCAGTAAACAGGCATTTATTTAGCACCTACTGTGTGTCAGTCCCTGAGTTAAGTGTTGCAGATCAGGAGGTGGGAGAGCATTTCAGGCACGGGGAACAGCCAGTAAGAGACATGGAGCTGGGCCATGGGAGTGTTGTGTGAGGACCAGTAAGTGGAAGAGAGTTGAGTAAAGAAGACTGGAAAGATAGGAAGGGGCCTTGTTGTGCAGGGCTTTAAAAGCTCAACAGAATTATGTATTTAATCCTGGAGGTAGTAGGGGGCCACTGCAGTTTATTGGGTAAGGAGGTAATGTGTGGTTAGACCTGAGTTTTAGCAAGATACTGGCAGTGAATGGAGGGTGGGCTAGAGGGAGGAGAGATCTAGCTGCACTAAGCCTTAAGTTCATTTTTTGCCTTGTGTTGCCTGAGGAGCTTCGGATGGTTTAACTGTTGCTGTATTGTGGTTTTAAAACATTTTGAAATGTGGCTTGGGTTTAAAAAAGCATAGCTGCTTATGTAGTCTCTGCTTTTCAGGGGTTTATTTTAAGCTGTTTTATTTTCTCAGGGCTGTCATTAAGAAGGCCTCAGCTCTAGAATACAAAGTACAAAGAAGAGCTCTTTTTAAGGAAGACTTTATCAATTATATCCAAGTGAGTGGATTGTTTATTCCCTGCAATTTTATTCCTTTTTCACCTAACTAATGAATGGGTGAACTTGGCATTGATGCCTACTTTTGTAGAATGGATTTTTAAATACCTAACTTGGAACATTTAGAAAAGGAAACGTTGATAGCAGATAGTCAGCATATACTTTCATTGAGAATGTGTCATGGCCACCTAAAATTATTTCCTTTTTTGGTGGGGCTTCAAGAAGGGTAGATCTGGGGAATAAAGATTTAGTATCTCTTATTTTCAGTAAGGCATTTAATAAAATTCAATCCTAGGCTGCACATTTTGAAAGGGCACCAGCCATGTGAAACAAATCCAGACGAATGAAAGGATTAAAGATCTAGAAATTGTCATATGAAATACTGTTTGAGGGTTCAGGAGCCTTGGAGAGAAGAAAACTTGGGAGGGATACACTGTGGGCTGCAGGAATGAATGAACACTGGCTCTGGTGTCAGAGCACGTGGGTTCAAATCCTGCCTCAGACACTTGCTAGGTCTATGGCCTTACAAAGTGCTTCAAGTTCCCTAGGTTTCAGTTTCTTCTCTGTGGCAGGCCTAGGATCAGCAGGTGGAGGTGACCTGGAGGCAGGTTCTGGATCTCCATGAACTTTCTTCCCCATGAGCTCTCTTTTGGTAAAATGGGCTCCTTGGGGAGGGGGCTCAGGCCTCTGGGCACAGTCAGAAGCCAGGGGGTTTGGAATGGGTTGGGAAGGCCGAGCTACCTCCCTTTGAGGTACCTTTTGATTCTTAGTCATGGTTGTAGTCAGAACCAGCTTCCTTGACGTTAGAAGTGCTGACTAAATGGGCCAGTTGTAGAGGGAGCCCGCTGATTCTGTTTGAGTCAATTTCTAGACGTATATTTAGCACCAGGTGCAGTCTGCTGAATTCCTGGTCTTGCTGAGAATTATTATTGCTGTAAATTGCACACTTGACAGTCAGTCATCCTTGATTACCATATGCCATGATTTTTGTAGCTGCTAGACCTTGTCCATAGCTTTTAGCTCTTCAACTAGCTCCTTTTTTTTAAAGTTTTTTTTTTAATCTTGAAAGTTCAGAATTTTTCTGTTATTCCTCTTCTCTCTGTGTATATTCTGACATGGCATGTTGTCTTCTTCCCTGTAGTATGAAATCAATCTTCTGGAACTGATCAAGAAGAGAAGAGCAGTAAGTAAATGAATTTCCAGGGTTGGGGGAGGAAACAACAACAAAATGTAACATGCTCTTCGGCAGCTTGCCCCCAGCCAACTAGACGTTGGGAGGGGCCGGCTCTTGGCTGTGCTGCGCTCTGTGAGCCTTCAGTGGGCACCAAGTAATGTTTGGTTTTGGTGCTTTGGGGCTGTAAACACTGTAGGAGTTAATGCTGATGATTTTACTTCTCCCCTGCCACGGGTGTGTTAAATTATTCCTCTTGACCTGTAAGTGTTGGCAGTGTTGAATCAGGGCAGATGTGAGTGAGGTGGTGGTTCCTTTGGCCTCTGGACAGCCAAGAGCTGGTGGGGCATCCAACTAGCTATGGACAGAGGGGGCTTGGTTTACTAGATGGGGCACACAGAAAGGGGGCCTACCACATTTGGTTCAGTTTGCTTGATGTTTGCTGAGCAGCAAACATGGTCTGTTCAAATCTAGAGTTGCCCCTGGTGGGGCAGGGCTGGGCTGCCAGTGGGACAAGCTGTTTCTGGGGCCAGATGTTGGGAAGTTTCTTAAGCCCACCAATGTCCATTTTTAATTCTGTCCACTCAGTTCAACAGATATTAAATTAAGTGCCTACTGTGTACAAGGCTCTGTGCTAGGGGCTGGGGACATAGGGTCACAAAGGAAACAAGTCCTTCCTGCAAGGAGCTTACTAGGGGAGCGGGGGGGGGGGCAGAGGGGGAGCATATACGCAGAAGGTGCTGAGAAAGAGGCTTCTAGGGTCCATGCTACCCAAAAGGTTGAGCAAGGCAGAGCCAGAGGCTGTAGGGTGAAGATTTCAATCAGGGCAGTGACGTGGTTGGACCTGTGCCTAATCAGGGGAGGCTGTTAATCCCAGTAGTTGAAGTTGGGGTGAGGAGGAGAGGTGGTGTGGGCTCTGAGAGATTAGGGAGCAGTAGAATCCCCTTCAGAGCTGGTGTTGGGCCGATGGTGGGGCTGTGGGGTCCACCCGGAGGTTGAGGCTTTGTCTTTTGGTCCTCAGCGTACTGGATACGTATTTAAGAAGGAGGAGATCGAGTTTTCGATTGTGCACAGAATACAGAACCTCTTCCGTCGAGCCACAGCCAAATGGAAGGTCAGCGGGTTTGGGGCTTTGTGGATGGTGGGAGGTGGCACTGCTTGTAAAGCAATGGCCTGAGTTTTAAAAACCCACCCAAGGGTGCCAGGATTTGTGTACCGGCTGCCTGGTGGTGTTCTTCACGTTAGCACCTGTGGGGTGATTCCTTCTCATATCTAGGCACATTTTTGGTGTTTTCTGAAAATAGACTGGCTACGTTTCCTTCTCTTTTTATTTATCATCCACTGGGTTAGGGGATGGAGAGGGAAGAGGAATGGGCTGGGGGAAGACAGACCCTGACTTCTCCCTTGCAGATTTCTTTTTTTTTTTGTGAGGCAGTTGGTGTTAAGTGACTTGCCCAGAGTCACATAGCTAGGAAGTATTATGTGTCTGAGGCCGGATTTGAACTCAGGTCCTCCTGACTCCAGGGCCAGTGCTCTATCCACTGCGCCACCCAGCTGCCCCATCCCTTGCAGATTTCTAGAAGTGGGACAGTGAATGGCTTTGGTGTGTCAGCTGTTGTGTGAGAAACCATGAGCCAGTGAGGGGAAGGCTGGTAGGGTCAGTGCTCTTTGTGGCAGTCAGGAGAGCTGAATTCGAGGGCCTTTTGCCACGACCTTGGTGTGACTTTGGCCGATCCCCTTCTGTCCCTAGCCCTGGGTTCCCTGCTCCGTGAAATGAGGGTTTGGATGCCTGATCTCTTAGTCCTTTCCGGCTCTGACAGTTTGGTGAAGCCACCCGAGGCCTGCCAGTGGAATCGCTGGGGCTGTGCTTGCCACTGACCCCCTTTGTGACCCCTCCCTGGGCCTGCCGCTCCCTGCTCCGTAGGAGCCTCCGAGGCCCCTTCCAGCCTAAGTCTTTGTACAGTCTGTTCAGAGTCAGTTCTGAGTAGGGGGCAGTTTCGCCTCAGAGCTGATCCCTTTACATAGAGGGGAAGGGATTTCCCCCAGGGACTTGCCTCAGTTAGTTAGGGGCAGGGCAGAGGTAGGACTGGAACCCATGTCCTCTCAGCCTGGATTTAGAGCTTTCTCTACTGTACGGTGTTACCTTCTGCTCAGGAGAATAAAAAGAAAAGTGAGCATCACGCTTGTGTCTGAGGGATTTGTAGTTAATGAGTGGTCATTACCTGCTCCTCCCCCCTCCCCCGAAATGATGCAAAAGAAGGTAACGGTCCATCTTTCTGTCTTTGAGGATTGGCTTTTTGATTAGGGCACGGGTAGGGATATATTTGGAAATGAAGAGGATATAAAAACAAAAGATTAAGAGGTTTAAAATTTGTTTATTGTGACTATATGAAATACCGATAAAGAATGTGGTTTCTGTTATGTGTTTCCTATAGGAAGATATTCAGCTCTGGCTTTCTCACGTAGCCTTTTGTAAGAAATGGGTGAGTATGAGGGGTTTACTTTTCCCCCCCTCCCTCTCCTTTATTTCCTTACCTTTCATTCCTTTTGGACAGTGTCTCCCTACCCCCAAGCCATACATGTGATTTGATTGCAGAGCCCCATGATTTTCACTGAAGGTTGGGAAGAAATGACTGTCACTTAGTTCAAGAAACAAGCCGCACATCTTGTGAGCAGAGCTCACTGTGCTGGGCAGGCTGCATGGCCAGGATCAGATGCAGATTCTTCTTCTAGAACATGGAGGGGTGTGGGCTAAACGGCTCTCTGTGGGACACAATATTTGTTGAATTTTCATGGTCCACCTTGATAGGGCACTTTTCCTCCTCGGGCCTTGTGAGGTGGGTAGTAGGAGGTGTAATTATCTCAATTTACAGATGGGAAAGCTTCCATGAGGTGAGAGGGTAAGTGACTTGTCCAGCTTGCCATGGCTGCTTAGTGCCAAAGCAGAGACTAGACCACTAAGCCTGCTGCTCTTTGCCCTACCGTACACAGCAGCACTACCCCCCCCCATAAAAGGTGGGCACAGAATTTGGGAATAGATTTAAAGAAGGGACAAGGACCTATCGGAGGACCTATCTCCTGCATCTTAAATGCGAGCCTTAGTTCTCTCTAGTGGATGGATTTCCAAGTGAGTCATAAAAATATCTTTTTTTTTGGTATAAGTCAGAATTTTATCTTGGAGTTTGTGAGATTAGGTTTTAAAGATGTTTTGATGGCTATATTTCAATATCATTGGTTCTCTTTGTCATTCTGTCATTTCATTTTATGCATTTAAAACATGACTGAGAAAGGGGTCCATAGGGTACCCTAGACTGTTGCCAAAGGAATCCACGTGCAGGAAAGGTTAAGAACCCTGCTACAAATGAAGGTCAGGAAATTGGAATGTAACTTTGATTTGCTTTAGGATGTTTGGACCGTGGAAGACAATAGAATTCCACCTCAGACACCTTTCTTTGTGACAAGTTGTTTATCAAGTCGTTTATCCTCTCAGCCTCAGTTTCTCCATCTGTAAAATGGAGGTAATAATAGCACTTATCTCTCAGAGTTATTTGGAGTAGGACACGATATAACATAGGCTGTCCCAAAAGTCTTAGGGCAGTTTAAAGTTTTGATAGTTTAAAATGGCAGTAAGACTTTGGGGATCCTGTGTATGTGTAAAGTGCTTTGCACACTTGGGCTGTGTATATGTCCATTATTACTTATGGCCTTGTTTTGTCATTGGAATTAGTGTGGTTAGATAACCTTTAGTTCTAGTTTCATTGTGACTGCTCTGGGATCCTGGCCCCCAGGAGTCCGGCAGAAGAGAATTGGGCTGAGGCCTCATTGTGAGTGCCTCCTGTGTCCTGGGGCCTCAGTAAGTGAAGGGCTGATCTGGCCTAGACTGAGGAGTGATAATTCTTTGCACTTAAAGCAGACTTTTTTCTTATCTCTTACAGAATAACAAGACCCAAATTAGTAAAATATTCTCTTCCTTGTTGGCCATTCATCCAAACAAACCAGGTATGGTGGATTGGGACTCTTTTTACATGCTGGTTTATAAAGGCTTAGCTATTTTAAGAACATTTAGGGGGAGGCTGGGGGGCCTGGTGGAGCTCTGTGGCTCAACTTGGATAGTGTGGGAAGGAGGCCTGGCCTACCTTAGCCACCTCCAAGGACTTTACTTTAACAATGGTAGGCAAATAAATGTAAGGTGGTCAGATTTTGGAGGGATCCCTGTTGGACTCTCAGCTGCTTCTTGAGACAGTCCGATAGGGTTTAAAGGGCAGGGAAAATGACTGACCCAGATTTTAAAGAACAGCATTTTGTTTTAGGCAGAGAATTTGTTTTTCAACTTGATGGCTGGCTTAATTAGTATTGAACTCTGCTAAGAGTTCAATAAACAATGAAAGGATTTAAATCGAGTTCTTGCTGGGTTTGGGATAGCCGTTGATTATCAGCAAAGGAATCTGGTTTGCTTTTTTTCCTGTCTCCGGACAGCCTTGTGGATCATGGCAGCCAAATGGGAAATGGAGGATCGCCTCTCTTCGGAAAGCGCCAGGCATCTCTTTCTGCGGGCGCTGCGTTTCCACCCAGAGTCTCCCAAACTTTATCAAGAAGTAAGTATGCCTCAGCTGGGGATCAGGCAGTGGCAGAGTCTCTTCCATTTTAATGTTGCCAGTTAAATTAGGTGGGTAGTATTATTCTGGATATAGTCGCACTCTGAAAATGGAGCCTTTTCTTAAAAAGCAACAGCAGCAAAAAACCCAACCCTGAGGTGTAGCAGGGCACTGCGTAGGATTACCAAGGAGGCCAGTTGATCAAAAAAACAAAAACCAAGTTTCTGGGCCCTAGGTTAAGGACCTCTGCTTTATATTGGAGTCTAGTGAGGGAAAAAAAAGATCTCAGGAGAGCCTGAATCAGGACTGAATTGGAGACAGAAGAGCTGGTGCTGACCCCAGGGCAGGGCAGAGATGTGAGCGGTCCTGCCGTACAGCTCTGAGGGCCTGGGAGCTCAGGCCTACCTCTCTGTGGCAGGAGAGCATGATGACCTTCATCCCCTCCTTCCCCCCTCTGCTCTTTTCCTCTTTCCTTCTTGAGCTCCTCCCTTCCTTTCTCTTCCCTCTTCTTGGAACCACACCCTGCTTTGCTTGTGATTTCTTCTTTCAGGGTTCCTAGGAAGTGGACAGCCAGGCATTCACTTAATGAATGCATGCTAGAGTTCTTTGGGGAATTGAGGCTGACAAAGCAGGAATTCAGGCTGTCCTGGAGGCTCGGTGAGTGCTCCAGCCAGCGTGGGTCCGTTCATGAATGGCTTTCCAACCCCTTGGCCTCAAAGGGAAGGGTATTTTTGGTCTCCATCTTAAAGGCCTCATAGCAGTCACAGCCCTATTGTAGTTACTATGCCATTTAGTTATGATGACATCAGAACCACCTTTTCCTGAGGGCCTCCGACATAATTTGGTAATTCTTCTGCTGTTATTATTGTTAACACGTGTTTTAATTACAAACTTAACTCTGAACGAAACCAAGTAGGCCTATTGAAATCTGGAATACCTGCCACACAAAACCTTTGTTTAGCATTTAACGAAGGCAGTTAACCAGCAAAGGCAAGAACCGGGGCTTTTGTTCTTTGTTCTCTCCTGGGCCTGTCTGAGGGTCCACATCTGGCTTTGTTTGTTCTCGTTGGGCTTTTAAAACCTAGTATTTCTGTAGGTAACTGGCAGGCACGTTAAGCTGTAGTATTGTCTTTGAGAGCAAAGCACAAGAGAAATGCTAACAGTTTATTTTATGGTAGAAGTAAAGTATGGATTTAGCCCTATGATTATTGTATAATGCAGTGATAACATCATGGCTGACTGAGGGTTGCAGTGCACTTTGTGCACCTCATTTCATCTGATCCTCACAAGCGCCCCGTGAGGGAGATTCTGTGGTCAGTATCACCTCCGTTTTTAGATGATCGAGTCTAAGAGGTAAGTGATGGAGAGGTCTTTGCTGCCTCCAGGAAACTGGTCGCTTTGATTCTCTGTTTACCCATTTCCACCTTGGCCATCGTGGGGTGCTGTTTTTGCCCAGTTTTCAGGGGAAGGGGAAAAGTAGTTTTTTCCCCCCAAAGTTATCTCTTGCCCCATCTTTAGTATTTTAGGATGGAGCTAATGCATGCTGAGAAGCAGAGGAAAGAGAAGCAGGAGTTTGAACAAGCAAAAATGGATTTGGTAAGATCCTTAACCTGTGCAGGTGGGGGCCTTTGTTCCTATTTGAGAGTCAGATGCGTCCCTGGGGATGTGGTGGGGGGGGGGGTGGAGGTCTCTTGTCCTGCTGGTGCCACAGAGCCGAGATTATTAGTGGACTTAGAAAGTTCCCAACGCAGAAGAGAGATGTCAGCACAACTGGTTTTAACAATGGTTGTGATAAGAAAACATGTCAGCAGCCCAGTAGAAATCACTGAAGTTTTCTGAAAAGGGGACTAAAGGTTCTAGTACTGGGGTGTGGGGGAGACTATATTGAGAGGTGATTGAAAAATATAACTGGAAGAGAAGTAAAGTTTATCAAGTACTTTTTAGAAAAGCCCAAACAAAAAATGAAATCACTCAGGAAAGACTGACTAAAGTGAGATTCCCTGAAACCTCTTTTAATTTCTTTTTATTTTAAAGAGTTGAAGGGATGAGATGAGGTGGATTAAAATGCACTCTGTCCAGCTTTCACTGTTTGTCCTGTCCTCACAATAAACAGATCAGAGACAGGAACCATTTTCAGTATGAGTTTTAGGGACCATCTAGTCCAGCCTTCTTGTGTTACAGCTGAGGAAACTAAGGCCCGAGAAGTTTGGATCTCCCTAGGTTTCCCTGGCTAGTTAGAAGCCAGGCCTCCGACGTACTGTCGAAGTTTCTCCTGCTGTGCTTTGGTGCTCACGCGTTTGGGTTTCTGACACTCTTTAGGAAGAACTCGATTTTCCAGAAGAAATCCTAAGTGGTGGCTTGGCACGGATTGTTTATAAAGAAGCTGTGAGTAAGATCAAAGGTACGCCTCCTACTCTAGAGGGGAGCAGGGACCGTTTGATTGTTATGACATACAGGAGAAGCGAAAGCAGCCCAGCAGCTAGTGTGGAGGCTCGTGCTTAGAGTTTGGGTCTCTCCTGAGACAGAATGAGCCCTGTCGTGCTCAGAAAATGCTTAACTCCATTGGCACCCACTTAAACATTCACCTGGTATTTAGCGAGTGCCTAGTGCTGGACTGTGCCATGCACCATGGGGTGGAGGACTCGGATGAAGTGGATGGCTTGGGGTGGGATGCCACCAAAGGACTGAAGACCTAGACAAGCTGAAAGTCAGCAGAACGTCCGAAGCCCAGCGGGGAACGGATATTCCTTGCTCTGCAGATGTGTTGACATTGATCCCTTTTCTGCCGTCTTTATTTTAGGTGCTGAATTTCATCTTTCGTTACTTTCAATTGCAAAGTTATTCACTTTTGCTGGAGATCTTCAGAAAGAGATTTATGACCAGTAAGTGGAGGCAGGAGGTGGAGACGTGTTGCGGGTGGCTGTTTTTGGGGCGTGTAGTTCTAGAGGAAGCAAGCATCATCATCATCATCATCGTCATCATTATCACCACTGGCATTTACAGAGAGCTTTGTGGTTCACAGTCCTTTCATTTCATTTCATACCTTATTTCATTTCATATTCACGCTGATCTTGGGAAGTGGGGCTCTGATCATCTCCATTTTACAGATGAGGACACTGAGGCACACAAAGGTTAAGTGGTTTTCCCGGGGTCACAAAACCAGAAAGTATCTGAGGCAGGATTCACACTTGGGTCTTCCTCACACCAAGTCCTGCACTGTAGACACTGGGCCAGGAGAGACGTCAGCAAACCAGTGGGAAGTGAGGTCTGTGAAGGTGTAATGGGCACGCTGGTTCCAGAGAGGAGACGTGGGAGGAAGCTGACCTCCTGTCCAGCGTGGACACTCTGGTGCTGCCAGGATGGCCCAGCCAGTCCAAAGCTCAGCTTGGATGCGCTCATCCTCTGTGACTGTTCTGAGGAATGTCCCTGAGATGGGGAGCGAGGGAGCCTGGTGTGGGGACTGGTGGGGATGTAAAAACGAGATGCCCACCCACCGGGATGAGGAGAGGGAGGAGGAGCGATTCCTTCCTTGGAAGTCGTCTGTGTTGGGAGGGCTCAGCTTCCTGGTGAGAGTCCTGAGTGGTGTGGCGGGAGGGCGGTGGGGGCAGCCTGGATGGGAGGGGTTCTCCAGCCTGGGCAGAGCAGCGCTGATGAGGCTTGCTGCTGCTCCTGCCGCAGAGGCTGTGAATGGTCCCCTCCACTGAGACCCATTCAATGATGGCAGCGCGAGCAGCATCGCCTGTTTAAGTAGCAGGTGCCCAATAAGTGTCCACAGCATCATAGATTCAGAGTCAGAAGGGAGTGGAGATGTCAGATCCAACTCCGAGGAAATTGAAGCATGAGATGTTAGTTTTAGAGGTGGGGAAACGGAGGCACAGAAGTTATGCTGCTTGCCCTGAATTATGTAGCTAGTAAGGGCCAGAGCTGGAATTTGAACCCAGGTCTTCTTACTGCAATACATAGTGGATAAAGCACTGGACTTGGAATCAGGAACTAGCTGTGAAACCCAGGACAAGTTGATAAACCTCTGTTTGCCTCAGTTTCCTCAACTGTAAAATGGGGATCATACCAACATCTATCTTTTGGGGTTGTTGTGAAGATCAAATGAGATAACGTTTGTAAGGCCTTCAGCACGGTGCCTGGCACGTAGCACGTAGGTGCTACATAAATTCTCATTCCTAGAGTGCTGGCCCTGAAGTCAGGAGGACCTGAGTTCAAATCCAGCCTCAGACCAAACACTTGACACTTACTAGCTGTGTCACCCTGGGCAAGTCACTTAACCCCAATTGCCTAAAACCAAAATACAAACAAACATAAATGCTAATTCCCTTCCTCTGCCTAGGTCCATTGACATAGTTCATTCTAGAAGCCTGAATTTGCACTGTGGCTTGAGTGCCCCTTCCAGGGGACCCTAGGTTTCTGCCTGTGGCCATGGTTCTGAGGTTGTTACAAAGGTCTGCTGGGGTGCTGACCGCAGTCAGGTCAGCTGAGCTCCTTTTCCCTGGCTTCCCTAGGACAGGGCAGGTGGGAGGAATCTCTTTGTTCCAGCCTACAGGTTCTGCATGCTGGAGACCCCCTCACCTGGGATTTTGTGGCTCGGCGAGAGCTGGAGCTGGAGTCTCAGCCACTTGGAGAACTCGCGTCCAAACAAGGGAAAGCCGCGGAAGTGGCCCGCAGGGAGGAGCGCTGCTGTGCTGTCTACGAGGAGGCCGTGAGCTCTCTGGCCACAGGTTTGTCTTCCTGGCTGCAGTCAAGAAATAAATCCTGCGATCTGTGCCTGAAATGGGTTTGACCTCCCACAGAGAGTCATGCCAACCCTGTTCTCCATCTGCCACTCGCTCACTGGCTGGGTCATCCTGGGCAAGTCACTCCACCCGCAGTGGGCCTCAGTTTCCCCATCTGTAAAATGATGATGTTGAAACTCTGTGGCTCCAAATCTGCCATGCTAAGGCTGTGAGGTTTTAAACGTTTTCTGTTATTACTCCATCTTCCTCCTTGATGAGCATGGTGCACAGCATATCCCAACAAACTTGCCTTCTGCTTTTCTGTGGCTCCCAAGCTGAGGACAGGTGTTACATTTGGAATCGCCCACTCCTGGTCTAGACACCAGTGATACTTCATTTTCATGGGAACTCCCCTTGCAGAATCTCCTTTCATGGCTTCAGCCCAGCCACTGAGGTTTGGTGACTTGTCCAGGGTCTTTCTGCCAGTGGGCATCAAGGCAAGACCTGACCCCAGGTCTCCCTGGTTGCTATCCGCTGAATCTCTCCTAGTGCATATGTTAGGAGGAACAAATAATTCAACAAAAAGAATCAAATGTATGCAATACAGTCAGGGGTAAAATCTTATATGAAACATAACATTTAACAAAGCAGAAGGAACCGAATGAATTAAGAAGCAGCAGACAAACCGCTCTGGTTCTGGCCTCCTTCCTCCCTCCCTTCCTTTTAGTCTTCCCTACCCTCTCCTCTTCTCCTGTCGCCCTTTCTCCCTTCTCCCCACTCACACTGTCTGGAATGGCTCTGGTGCACCTGAGGAAATTTTGCTCACAGAGTAATGTCAGTAGTAATGATGGTAGCCTTGTTTGGGAAAGGATTGTGGGTAAAATTCTACTTTTTACCATAGGCATTTTTTTTTTGCTTTGTGTTTTGGTGAGGCAGTCAGGGTTAAGTGACTTGCCCAGGGTCACACAGCTAGTGTCAAGTGTCTGAGGTCAGATTTGAACCCCGGTCCTCCTGACTCCAAGGTTGGAGCACTATCTACTGTGCCACTTAGCTGCCCCTACCATAGGCATTTTTTAAAAAATACATTGGAAAAGACCTTTCATTTTTCTTTGTTTTCCTTGGTAATGCTCTGTGGTTAAGTATTGAATAGAATTTCTTACCCCGTGGTGTTGCCTCAGCCTGATTCTGCAGTTGCTGGGATGTCTCGCTTCCTAGCCCATGAACCTGGGTGATGGGCTGCTTTGAGGTAGCAAGAGCTTACATTTCCCTTTGCCAAAAAGTAGCAGCTGTGGTTGGAATGAGGATCTGGTCTCACCGATTACTCGTCTGTCTTTTTCTTTTAAAACAAACAAACGAATGAATGAAGTGCATTTTCTGTAGATAATAACTAGCAGCAAAACCAAACAAACAAAATAAGGTTAAAATCTCAACCCTGAAGCCCTCGGGGTTTCAACCAGACGGAACTAAGCCAGTGCCAAAGATGCTTCTGACTTGTGTCCCGCCATGGGTCAGTTAGAAGTTCTGCCACCTTTGACCCACTTAAAAAAACAAAACAAAAGTTGTTGTCATGTGTGATGTTCTTTCTGACTTTACAGAGGCCATGTGGAAGTGTTATGTCACCTTCTGCTTGGAGCGATTTAATAGGAAAACGAATAACAAGGAGCTAAGAGAGAAGGTAAGGCGCAGATCATATCACGTGATCAGGGGGCAGCCTGTGGACCCATGGGTGCCCAGGGAAAACCCACCTTTGAGAATTGGCCACCCATTTCGTAACCCTTTTCTCAGAGCCTTAAATAAGGTTTGATTTTCTGCAGATCAACATAATTTAAAAACTCTTACTGTCTGGGTCAAGATCATTCGTGTTAAATTCTTATTTTTTTTTTTTTAGAATTCATTTAGCCTTTATTTTTAAAAGAAATTTTTTTCAACCAAAAATCAATTTTTTCTCCTTTCCCACCTCTTCCATTGGGGGAAAAAAAGGAAAGTCCCTTACAACTAGCATGCATAGTCAAACAAAACATTGCAATGTTGGCCTCATCCAGCAGTCTGTAACTCAGTCTGCACCTTGGGCCCATCCCCTGTCAGGAGGTGGACAGGATGCTTCATCATGGATCCTTTGATGTGGGGGCTGGTCATTGTGTGGGCCAGAGTTCTCAAGTCCTTCAGACTTGTTTGTCTTTACAGTGGTGGTGTCATTCTGGTAGTCGTCCTGGTTCTGCTCACTTCACTTTGCATCAGTTCAGAAATCTTCCTGGGTTTTTCTTAAATCATTCCCTCCATTTTTTACAGGGTAATAAGAATTCCATCATGTTCATAGGCCATCATTTATCCAACCGTTTGCCAGTTGATGAGCAGCCCCTTGTTTTCAGGTTCTTTGTGTCACAGATAGAGCTACTGTAAATAGTCATATACTTGTCTCCTTTTCCGAGGTGGAGGCCTCGTAGTGGTACTGCTGGGTCAAGGTGTGCAGATGAATTCGGATGATTAGTGTTGGGGGTGCAGTCTCAAATTGTTTTCCAGGATGCCTCTGCCCCTGCGAGTCATGCAGCGTTCCTGGGCCTTGCCAGAGGTAGTTGTGGAGTCCCCTGCAGCTCTGACTCTGGTGGTGCTTGTGCGATCTTGGATCCTAGGACTGTCATCATCTCTGTGCCTCTGGAGTCACCCCAGGCTGTCACGGGCCAGCTCTGGCTCTGGCTCACCAGGCCCCAGGCTTCTACCACATTTCTAGGCCTTTTTCGTGCCGCACCAACACATGTCCAGCTCCCTTTTCTTAGTTTACTGCTCCCCATTAGGATGTTGACATCTTGAGGCCTGGGGGAACTGTATTACTTCTTTTTATTTTTATTCCCAGTGCTTAGCAAAGTGCCTGGTAAGGGCTCAGTGAATGTCTGTCTATCCATCCATCTGTCTATCTATCCATCCCTTTAGCTGTGTTATATTCCCCCTCTATTTCCACTGCAGTTTCACCATTGGGGAACAGTAGCCTCCTTTCCTGAATTGTCAGGAGTATTGTAAAACGCTCCTATTCAAGGTCCTTTCAAGGGCCCTTTCACCAGGATTTCGTGATGGACTCTGGGCCCTTTGTGATTTCAGAGGCAGGAGCGGGCCATGGATGTGTTCAAGAGGGCTCATGAAGCCAGGCTGCTGTCTGAAGACCTGTACCAGCAGTGGGTAAGGTGGTGGGCTAATGTTGTTCTCTTGGGCGGTGAGTTCTGTCAGAGCCCTGCGTGGCCGCTTTCTTGTGGGCTCTTGGTTCTCCTTGGGGGTCGGGGGGGGATGGGCCCTTTGAAGGCCAGCAGCCTTCAGCAGCGACTCCTCGCCAGTGGCATCGCAGGATGAGGACTGTTTCGGCTGCAGCAATTTTTGCTCTTTTTTAAAGTACGTTTTTATTTTATTTTTTCACTTAAACATACATTTTGTCTCCTCCTCTCTATAACAAACATTCTCAGTTTGACAAAAGGCACTGCTGGCCTGGCCACATCCAGGAGCAGTTCTGAGTCTCAGCTCTGTCCGGGGTGGGCAGCGAGGCTTCCTCTGCATCGCTTCTCCAGGGTCTTGGTTGGACACGGGCGTTTGTCAGGGGTCCTGAATCTTCCATTGTCTGTCTTCCCGGTGTTATTGTTCTGGTTTTCTCCCCTTCGCTCTGCCTCCGTTCACACAAGTCTTGGCAGGCTTTTCTGCACCTGGCTCTTCTGTCATTTCTTACCGCACACTTATTTCAGTACATGGCGTACCATCGTTTATTCAGCCGCTCCCCCAAAAGATGGAAACTCCCTAAATTTCCATTCCTCTGTTGCCACTGCAGAAGAGAGATGGGGTGGGGGCGGGGAACTGAGACCCAGGGAACCACTGCACTGCTCACAGACCAGCTCCTGAGATCCTGTCACCCAGGGGTCTGCTTCCCCACCCTCTCTGGGGCAGTCCTGATTCATCGATGTGGTGGTAATATATTTATTTGGAAGCAGTAATTTGTGTACAGTATGATCGGTAGGGTTTCCACTGGATAGAGTAGAGGTGTGTAACTGACCAGACTTCTGCCATTGGAGGGGGCTGAGGTGACAGGAGCCTTTGAGGCCATCTCAGCTGCCCCCGAGGAGTCTTAACCCAGAGAGATGAAGGGATTCCCCCAAGTTTCCACAGGGGAGTGGCAGAGCTGGATTGACTCCAGAGCGAGCCCTCTGCCCCCTGCCCGGCCCTGCCAGGTTTGGCCCTTCCACATTTGCAAGATGGTTTACATAGGCCCTCTGCTTGGAGCCTCATAGCAGCCCAGGATGGGGGGTGAGCAGGGAGGGGCTGCTGCAGGTATCCTCATCTCCCTGGTCTGCCAGGCCCCTGTCTGGGCTCCTGCGGCTGGGCTCCTGGGTGGTCTCGCCTTGCAGATACAGCACTGGTCACTCGCCTATGCTGCTTCTCAGGCATATCTGGGGTTTTTTTGGAGGGGGAGGGTCCATGGTTCTAGTACAGTTTATTCCTCAGTAAGCTGTCTTCCCAGTCTGAGACTTTCCAGGGTCCCCTGTTCCTTTCTCACCATGTCTCTCATTTTTTGGTTATGTTTATTCACCTCCTACAAAGAATAGACAAGAGTTGAGAGAGGAGGAGACCCTCCCACCTGACTTTGCCTGCTGGTGGCCACCCCAGTTGAGGTTGCTCAGGTGTAGGGAGAGGTTTTGGACCTCCCTCCGGTCTTTCACTGTGGACACTGAGGAGCTGACCGGGATTACAGCTCCAGTGTTCTTTTATTTTGTGTAGCTTGACTTGTTGCTGGGCCTGGGCCTCACTGAGGTTGCTCTGGGAGCGGCCCTGGCCATGACGGACTGCTGCCCGGACTCGGCCCCCAGGTGGCAGCTGCAGCTGCAGGTGCTGATCAGGTTGGAGAGCAGTGAGGTCAATGAGCGTTTTGAGGAAGCCATTCAGCACCTGAGGGCCAAGGTCAGTGAATCCTGCCGCCCCCAGGGTCCTGGGGCTGTGCTTTCTGCACACGTACGGCTGGCATTGCCTGCAGTGGGCTGGGGTGGGGTTCCTTGAAGCTGTCCTTTCCCTAGAAACTGGCTGTCACCCCAGGGTGCCTCACAGGTGGCAGATCATCAGCTCCCTCTGTGCAGGGACTGTTTCCCTGGCACATTGTAGGCGCTTAACAGATGCTTGTTGATTGGCTCATTACTGGTCCTGGAGTGCCTGTAGTTTGCAGCTCACAGCCAGCAGCTCAGCTCTTCTCAGTTTGTTTTTTGTTTGCAGGATTGTTTGCCATTGTGGAGTTTGTGGGTAGAGTGGAGCGAAGGGGCCCACAGTGAAGCAGACACCGAAGCCCTCTTCCAGGTGGGCCTGGGGGAGGTCCCTGACGGCTCTCGGCCGGCTCTTCTTTCTCCTGCTTCTGCACTTGTCACAAGCTTAGTATCATCAGGGCAGGGCAGAAAAGTGGGGAGAGCCTGGGCCTGGGTTCAGATCCCTTCTCCGGGCCTTAACTCCCTGGCTGACTGGCCATTTGCACTCTGCTGGGCCTTGTTTAACTCCTCTGAGGTCTCTTCTGGCTTAAGATTTAGGGCCCTGGAAATCAAACCTTAGGTAAAAACCTTCACACTTAGTGAAGCTGAACCAGCCCAGTGAACCTGAAGCAAGGGAGGAGTAATATGTGTGTGTGTGTGTGTGTGTGTACGTACACATCACGTATGTGCATGTGTGCATGCACGTGTGTATATGCGTGTATATGTATATGCATCCATACATGCATGCACATGTCTATGTTGCATGCATGCTTGTGTATATGTGCATATGGTATATGGTATGTGTATGTGTGTCAGGATGGTTCGGGTTCTGTTGACCTGGCTTTACCTCACATTGTAGAAGTAGCCTCCCCATCTCCTGGTGTTGGCCACATTTGATTTTTGAGGAATCACGACAGTCTCTTTGTACACGAATATACATTAGTAATGCCTTCAGCTCATTTCCCACCGTTCGATAGATGTACCAGTTGCTTCCCATTCTTTGGCCATCACAGGTGGAGTGGGGTTGCTGCCCCAGGCAGTTCTCATGGGGGTAGAGTTGTAGCTGGGCTCTCTGAGGCCCCTGGGCCTGCCCTGTCTGCCCTGTCCCTCGTCTCAGGACTCCTGGGCCTTTCCATGGGTCTGCAGCTGAATCTGCCCAAGTAGAGGGTGAGCTCCTTGAGAGTAGGGGCCATTTGACTTTTTCTCTTGTATCCCCAGTGCTCAGCAAGTGCCTGACAGACTATTTTTCATTCTTTGATTCAGTCACTGGCAAACAAACTCATTCTGTGGCTGCCTTAGAAGGCATGGTTTGAAGCCTCCAGCTCTCCAGTGGGTTGGCTTGGGGGTGACATTTCTGTGAATTTTCCTTATGTAGATTGTTTCTGATTTCTTCCATGTGGCAGAAATCTCTCCTTGCTACTGTCCCTGCTGACTCTGTGATCATGAAAGAGAAATACCTTGATTGGGCTTATCGGACCGGCGGCCACAAGAAGGCAAAAAAAGTCTTTATCAGGTTAGACAAACTGTCCCTGCAGGTGCCCCATGGTGTCTGTCCTGTCACTGGCTTGGCCCTTCTCCTCTTTGCCAAACTTTGGAATTCTCTGTCACATCTGCTCTTGAAAAAGATGACTTGTGACTTTTTGGGCCTTGTCATGCAATATGTGGTAGAGACAAATTTGGGCCATGGTTCTGCAGGCTGATGCTACAGGCTCATGACTGGCAGTTGTGACTGATAGACTAGATTTTTTGTAAAATTCTGCTAAAAACCCAAAACAAATCTAGGTCCAAAATGAGTAATTTTAAAGTTGGTTCTTGAAACAGAAACGAGGGGTATAAGGAAGAGGGGCCTAGGGTGGTGAAACAAAGTGAATGATGACAAAGAGAAGTCATTGCCCACTTAAAACACTGGCAGTCAGTGTTGGTGGTGGTTGGGCGTGAGTCCAGAGCTCATCTAGTGAGCCTAACTTGCTGCTACCTCATGCATGGGCCTTGTTCACTATGGGGTTCTTCCACAGTAATAGGCATGTGGGAAAAGTAAAACATTTCTTCTCTGTAGTTTACGAGAAAACCGCCCATTTTCAGTTCAGTTCTTCAAGAGGATGATCCAGATTGAAAAGGAGCAGGTAAGTGAGTGGGGGCATCGATCACTGTTTCCTAATTATTTTGAGAGGCCTCCAGCTACGTGGGGGTGGGGTGGGAGTGGAAGTGGGGAAGGGGGGGGGGATTAAGAAAGAGGCTTAGCAAACTTTGGATCCTGGAGTCCCCTGGCCTGCCCCTCTGCAGTGCGGACCACTTAGCAGGTATGACCAACAAAGTGAAGAATCAGAAGAGAAAACCATGAGAGCCAAGGCCTGGCTTTGGGAGAACTTCTATGGACGACACTTTGCTTGTCCATAAAATAAGTGGGTTCTGTTTACGGTGCAGAAGTTTCCCGGCTGAATCTAATCTAAACTGTAATTGGATTTGCATGTAAAAGCACCAACGGGTTGTTAGGGTCACTGTGCTAGGAAGGCAGGCTCTCCCTACCCGGAAAAACATGGAAAACAACCCCAGAGCTGAGAGAGGGATGAGGGTAGGACAGGCTTGTATCAGCTTCTCTTGAGAAATAACAGAAGGAAGCAAGCTTAAGATGAAGTAATTGGCATTTAGGGTAACCAGAAGAGAGAGCTTCTTTTCTTGGAAAATATGTGATGCTGAATCAGGCCGCTGAAGGATTGCCCTGTGTCCTGAGCTCTCCTGTCCACTTCTTTTGTCAGGAAACCTGTAAGATGTTGAACTTAAGAGAATACTATGAGAGAGCCTTGAGAGAGTTTGGTTCTGTGAATTCAGGTGATGAACCTTTTTTCTGTTGGAAGTATGTGTATGGGGGGAGATGGGGTTACTGACTCCCCTGTAAACATATTTTTGGAATCTGGGCCTTATCTGTGGAGAGGGGTAGGTTTGTATTCATTTTCTTCTGTGTCCTAGATCCCTTGGGCTATCTATCAGTCTGGTGAAGCCTATGAGCCCCTTCTCAGAGTCATATTTTTAAAAAAATGCCTAAAACACATAGGACTTTATAAAGGAAACCAATTATAGTAACGTGCTGTTATCAGAATACCCATCATTTTTTACGAGTGACCTGAGCTCTTCTGGCCTCCAGAACTCTTGGGTCTGGTGAAGGCCAGAGGCTTGGTTATTGCTGGGGCAGCATGCCAGGGAGTGGGGTGCATGCACTAGTGTGACTGATTTTTCTTCTTTTAAGACCTGTGGTTGGATTACATCAAGGAGGAGTTGAACCACCCTTGTGGCAAACCAGAGAACTGTGGGCAGATCCATTGGAGAGCCATGAAGATGCTGCAGGGTGAACTGGTGGAGGAGTTTGTGGCCAAATACACTTTTCTCCAGATTGGCCAGTTGTAGGAAGAGCCAGCAGCTGGACTTGTGGACTCTAAGAAACCCCTGTGGTGGATTTACATTCTAGGTAGATCTATCATTTATTTGTACAGAGATGTCTGCCTTTGATTCACAGTGAATATCGAACTCTGCTGTCTGATTCTGCTGGAATTCCCATTTGGCATCTTTGATCTGGAGGAGAGAGTTAGTGAAGGCTGTTGTCCATCTGGAACAGAAACAAACCTTTTCTACTCCACTGCCCTTTTTCAGAGCTGACAAAATCGGAACGACATTCTTCTTTCCTTCCAGATTTATATTGGGGGTCAGGAGTTGAGGGAATAAGTTTTGTTCTCTTGTCGCTTCAGTCCTGTCCCTTCTGGGTTTTGTTTATGTTTTGAAAGGCCACAAGAACATTTCTTTTCTGAAAAGCACCCAAAGTGTATTTGAGCTCATGAAGCTTAGTGGAGGGAGGAGGAGAAGGCACACTCTTGGGTGTTCTATCTTTTTAAAATACTTAGGAAAGCATAAAATATTACAGACCTAGAAGAAGGCACAATTTTAGGGCAGGGGATCCTTGTGCTTTAGCAAACCAGTTCAACGAATATTAACCATCTGTGTTACTTGGCCATGAGCCAATGAAATACCAGTCTCTGAAGAATCAAGATTAGAAATTACTTAAAGAACAGCAAAGAAACACTGTGGGTATACCAAGGACAAATTGTACACATAGAATGTTGCAAAAGATCTTGGAGCTGTAGGACTGGGAAAAGTGGTGGTGGTGAAGTTTGGAGCTGGGCTTAAAGAAGCAAGCTTGAGATTTGGAGCCTAGTAAATGGAAAGATGGTTGTGGGAGGAACATTTACCATGGAGAAGAGAAGGCTGGGAGGGGTAGTAGTGGAATGGGACATGATAACAGTCTTCAAGTATTTGGGGGGCTATCTTGTGGAAGAAGTATCAGACTTGTTCTGCCTGGCCTCAGAGGGCAGAATTAAGTAATGTTTGGAAATCGAGAAGGCAGATTTTGACTTTTGACAATTTTCTTTTTTTTTTTTTGTCTTTGACTGATACATTTATTAGAACAGTTATAAACTCTTACATGGTTTTACATAATATGACAAAGGCTGGTTCACTTGAACTGTTGGGACAGATGAATCTGGATTTTTCAGGTATCATCTGACGAAAAACAATGGCTATTTAATTTCCACTAAAGGTCTAGATATAATAGCTAGCATTTATATAGTGCCTTAAGGGCAGGTAGGTAGTGCAATGGATACAGCACCAGGCCTGAAATCAGGAAGACTCATCTTCTTGAGTGCCAATCTGGCTTCAGACACTTCCCAGTGTGTGACCCTGGACAAGTCACTTCACCCTGTTTGCTTCTGTTCCTCATGTGTAAAATGAACTGGAGAAGGAAATGTCAAACACTCCAGTTGCTTTGCCAAGAAAATCCCAAATGGGGTCATGAAGAATCAGGCACAACTAAACAACAGCAACATCGTAGAATGCTTTATGGATTACAAAGCTCTTCTGTATTATTTCACCTGATCTTCACAACTACCCCAGGAGACAGTTGCTATCATTGTCGCCATTTTATAGATTAGGGAACTGAGGTTGAGGGAGTCTGAATGACTTGCCCAACATCATAGAACTAATAAGTTTGACAATTTTCTTAGAGATTCTAGAGCTATCTAATTCTGGAATGGACAAGAGGTAGTGAACTCCCCGTTATCATAGGTTTTCAATCCCAACTAGAATTCTAATTAATTGTTAGAAATGTTGGAGAGGCAATTCTTGCTTCAGGGTTGTACTGGATTACATTTGAAGGTCCTTCCATCTCAGATTCTGAAATAGGGAATTTGTGAGGAAGGGGACATTTTTGGAATGTTAAAAGTCTGGAGGGCAGCTAGGTGGAACAGTGGATGGAGAACTGGCCCTGGAGTCAGGAGGACTTGGGTTCACATTCAGCCTCAGATACATGATACTCACAGCTGTGTGACCCTGGGCAAGTTACTTAACCCCAATTGCCTCACCAAAAAAAAAAAAGTCTGTGGGACATCCAGGTAGGCATTTGTAAATACGAGATTCAAACTCCAGGGGAGAGATTTGGCTTCAATAAACAGATTGGGGAATTGTTGATAATTGATACTGTGGTGATAATTGATACAGTGGGAGTGGATGATAGTGTGGAGAGGTGAGATTAGAGTCAGTTAGCTAAAAGCCACAAGCCTCATGTCTGGTGCAAAGGACTTTTCTACTTGCTCAGAGAACTGCTGTCTGAATAGTGCTGTGTGGGGTGATTCCTCTCAGCCCCCATCTTGTGGGTCTAGTAGCAGCTGAAGATCACAGCCTATAGTCTGGGTCAGGACAGGAAGGAGAGCACAGGGAGAGAAAGCCCCTGGTGATTTGTACTGGTTGGGCTGCCCAGCCTACAGTAGGATGCACTGGGAGTGGGGAAAGTGTGGGGTTAAGGAGAAAAGGGGCTAGTAGCACTCAACTCCAAAGAAGGCTAACTAATGTAGCTTTGAAAGCTAGTCATCCCTTGGCCGCATTGGACATTCCTCCTCCACTCATCCAGGCCCTATCTGGACCTCTCTGACCCTCCCTGCAATTTGAAGGCCTTGGCATTGGCTTTTCCCTCTGCAGTTGCTGCCTCGACTTCTAGGTCAAGCATTCTCCCTCCCAAATTTACCCAATACTTTTTATTCCCTATTTTATATGTACTTGTCTTTGGATTTGACGTGGCCCCCATTGGAATGGAAGCTCAGTATGAGTCTAGATTGCTTCCAGCACTTAGCATGGTGCCTGATACATAGTAGGGACTTCAAAGCTAGGGTCATCTAGCTCTGCTGTTTCAGGACGACAGGCCAGGGCACAGAGGGGGACTGGACTGGAGGATTTCCAAGGCTCTTTTCGTTCTGGGTTTAAGATTAATGAGGCTTTTGCAAATTCTCCCACTTCTGCCCAAGTCCATACCTTGGGCAGAGAATGAGGGGCAGGAGAGGCACGTGTTTGGAGTGTGAGGACAAAGCTAAATTTGGCATTGCCCGTGCCCCTCACCAATGTCCATCAACCCGAATTTGTTAAGCAAAAACTGCCAGGTGCTGCCCTAGGTGCTGGGGATACGCCACCAAAAGCTAAGCTTCCTGTCGCGAGGGAGCTGATCTGCTAGGGGGCACAGCTTAGGACCCAAGTTTATCAGTGCCAGGTAAAGGGAGGGGAGAAGGGGAGCTCCCTTAGATGACCATTGGGCGGAGCTTGAAGGAAACTGGGGGGCCTGAGGGCAGGGGTCAGGAGGGTATGCCTTCCACCCCGGGGCGGGAAAGGAGGGTTGAGCGCCCGGAGTCTGTCGGTTTGGCCGGACGGGGTGATGGACGAGTCCGCAGGGGCGGGCTTTGTGCTCCAGCCTGGCAGCAGCCGGCGGACTGGGCCGTGTTCCGCTCCCTCTGCGCGGCTTCCAAGCTTCTAGGCTGGACGGCCCCCGAGGGCCCCAGCAGCCCGGGCCAGGTCCATCCTCTTTGCCGACAGGTCAGCTTCCACTCCAGAGCAGCGGGGAACGCCGGTTCAGCCCGACGCGGGCCTCCAGGCCAAGGCCGATCACCTGTTAAGGCTAAGCCCTTCCTCGGCTCCTCGGGGGGTCGCCGGGCCCGGACATCCTCGGGGATTCCCACCAATGGCCCGGCGCGTCAGACAGGCCCCGCCCCCAGGGCGTCCACGTGACACAGACCCCGCCCCCCCGCCGCTGATTGGGCGCTCCGTGTTGCCTTTCGGCCGGCAGCATGGGGAAGTCGTCACGTGGGGGCGGCGGCAGCCTCGGCGCTTCGGGTACTGGCGGGCATGGAACCGCGGGCTGCAGGGGCCGGGAGTAGCGAGGGGCCGGCAGCCCCAGAGGGAGAGCCGCCGTCGCGGGTCGCGGGGGGCGGGGAGAAGAGGACGCGCCGCGGGCCGAACCCGAGCCGCGGCCGGAGCCGCCCAGCCCAGCGGCGGTAAGGCCGGAGCCCCCCGCGCCCACCCGAGACGAGAGTGAGGCCGCGGCGCGGGGCCGCCGCACCCCCTCCGCGCGGGCCTCCCGGGGGCGGCCCCTCGGGTCTGGAGTCGGGGAGGGAGGCGTGGCCCCTCGATTTGCGGCAGGAGGTCCACGGGTGGGAGGGCGGGAGGCCGAGGGCCGCAGACCAGCGCTCCCTCCACGTGCCCGGCCCTCTGCCCCCTCCCCTCTGCTGCTCCCTTCATACCTCCCTCCTGGAGGCCCCTCTGCGAGTTGTCCTTCGTTGGCCCGCCCCCAACTTTCCCTCTGCAGCGCCCTGCCCCTCCCTTCCCTTCTGCCCCCCCATCTACTCCTCTCCTGTCTCTTTATCCTCCCCCCTCCCGTGGGCCACTCTGCTTGTTGTCCCTCTTTAGGCCCCCCCCCCAGCTTTCCCTCTGCTGCCCCTTGCCCCTGCCCCCATCTACTCCTCTTTTCTGTCTCTTTATCCTTCCCTCCGCCCCCGCGGGACCCTCTGCTTCTACCATAGCCCTCCACCCCCCACTTGCTTGTTCCCCACTGCAGAGGTGGGGAGGGGACACTAAGGAGGCTGGTCTTGCATGTACTATCGTAAAATTAGCCAGTCGTCGGTTGCCCAGAGTTTATTAAGTGCCCACTCGTACTGGGCCCTGTGCTAAGCTGGAGGGGGCAAGGTGTCTTGGGGTTCCCGAGGCTGGTAATGAGTGGGGGGGTGCCAGGCCAGGAGGCAGAAGCAGCTTGGCCCTGGGGGTGCTCCCTACTCTTCTCTCCTTATGGGATTCCTCCCGGGAGTGGGGACTGATCTTGTGGAGCATTTTCTTTTAGAGCAGGTGATCTACAGGTCTGTAGGTAGATCTGAGGGGTCTGTGAACTTGGATGGGGAAATTTTTATCTCAGTATAATAGGTTTGCTGTGTAATCCTACCTGTTTTATGTAAGAGCAAGATATTGAGAAGACGTTCATAGGCTTCACCAGGCTGCCTAAGGCATCCGGGACACAAAAAAGAGTTAAGAACTCCTGCTTTGGGGAGTCTGCCCTTGTCAAAGCCAGCAGACCACCCCTGGATGCCAAGAGTTCGTTTTCAGTCTTTCAAAGTCTTTAAAAGCATCCACTGGTGGTAGGAAATTATTCAATCCTAGGTTGGATCCTGAGCTCAGGGGGACCCTGCATGTACAGCCCAAGACACCTTAGTCATCTTTCTGGTTACCTGCAGAATGTTCAGATAGCAAACCTTGGCTTTCTATTCACAAGGCTTAACGTTGTGCCTGGCTTAGTAGGTCTTTGGAAAGGCTCCTTAAACTAAGGTCTGAAAAAAAAAACCCTAAGGTCCTCTAGGCTTGCTTATTCTGTTCTGCCCTAGTGAGAAAAACATCAAGGAATGGGTGGAAACTATGTTTCACCCCAGCAAAACAGAAACTACCCAGATAATAAACCAAGATGGTGGTCAGCATGCAGTTTTTGTGTACTTTTGTGCCAGGGTGAGGAGAGCAAAGGTTCTTTACCTTTCCTGTGCCCTGCACCCTTTGGGCCACAGTCTGATGAAACTGAGGGGCTTCTCAGAATCACGTGAAATTTGTAAAGTAAAATACACAGAATTAAAACCAGTTATTGACATTCAGGGATCAAACTGTTTTAAAAACCAGTGCGCGGCCCTCAGGTTGAGAGCCCCTGTTGTAGAGGAAGGATGACTGGGGGGTGGGAGGGAGTAGACTGTTCTAGAGCAGATTTTTCATCATTCCTTGGCCAGATAGGGCTGACCCCTCCTTTTACAGATGAAGCCCAGAGAGGGAAAGGGATGGCTAGGGTCTTGTGGGCACTGATCACTTCTCAATTTGAGACAATGTCTTGGAAGAGCAGTGAGACTTTGAGGGTGGAAGGAGAGGATATTTAGGGGGGCTTGTTGGGCAGTGGAGTGGAAAGAAAGCATGCTGGTTGCCCAAATTACTTTTACCAAAATGTTACTGTTAAGTGATGGTTATTTTCATTCAGCCAAGAAATAATGAGAAGGTGCCAAAGTTCCCAATTATTTTTCTTTTGTTCAGGTCAGCTTGGCCATGTCTGACCACTTCTATCAAAAGAAGGAAGGAGATGAGGATGGGGTCATGAGATGGAAACCAAAACTAGGCAAGTAACCATTACTGGGCAGATGGTGAGGATCAGGAGGTCTGAGTAAGTGATGGAGAGAGAAGTCTTCCGTCCCTGTGCTATGCTGTGCTGGTTCAGCTTGGCCCTAGAGACCAGAACCAGGGGCAGTGAGTGGAAAGCTACAAAGAGACAGATGGAGGTTTGATACCAGGAAACCCTGGCTAACCATGAGCTTCCCAGAAGGGCAGCAGGCTGCCATCTGGCAGCTTCCAAGCACCAGCGGAATGAGCCCACATCTGGTGTGCTGTGGGGGGAGCTTCCTTTTGGGTAGGAGTTGGACTGCTTAGCAGCTGCTAAAGTGCCACAGTGAGGTCCCTTCCATCACTTTATGGGTTACTTGAGAGTGGCTTCTGAAATTAAAGGTGCCAGCCCCTGCCTTGGCATCTAGCGGAGATCCTCAGCCTGTGCTGCTTGGAATGAGTGCCTTGGCATCTCCTACTTGTCTTCTCTTTTTCCCACATCCTCTTTGCTGAACTGTACACTTTCTCTTTTGTGTTTTAATTGTTTCCTCTCAGAGTTGTCTGCCAAAGCAGCATCAGATACCTAGACCTTGATTGCCCTGCCCCAGATTGTTTCTTTCATCTTTTAGATGGCTCCTAAAATCCTGCTTTCTCCACGAAGCCTTTTTTGATTCAAATAATACTGATGGTTTCTCCTGTCTGCCCATCCCATGCCTCTTGTGGCCTGGGTCCTACTGGGGTTCCTTTTTCCAGGCTGTGTCCTGATGTGCTCTGTGCCCCATGCTGGTTGGGGGGGGAAGGGGTAGCAAAGTAATGAGGTGAGACCACTCAGATTCGCAGGTCCTTTCGTATATGTGTATCTGTGTATCCATATGTGTATATTTAGAATCTTAAGATTTAGCCCTAAGGAGCGTAGAAATCATCTTATCCCATGGTATCCAATTTATTTAAGTGTGATATCAAAAAAATGTAGTAGAAGCCTAGGTGATAATGGATGTGCTCCTTGGATCCTTTGGGAGAACTGGAGGACAAAACGTCTGCTGTTAATTCAGTAATACTTTTAAACAAATTGGTGCTAAAACAGCGTCTGTGTAGATTTGAAAAACTAGTAATATTTAAAGGTCTGAGACATTGTTTAGTCTACAGAAGCATATTTACCTATTTAATAGTGACTCATGCTAGGGATTTGGATTTTGCTTTGAGGGGCATTCACAAGTCACCTTGCCCCCCTCAGGCCTGTAACATGGGTGGGGAACTGCTGATTTTGTCCAGCCCCCTTTTTTATAGGTGGGAAACTAGTATTGGTAGGTGACTTACAAAGATGTGTACACTTAATCATTTTTTTTGTGGAAAAAAAATCAGACTGTTTTCCAAAGCCGGTTATAAATAAATTTTGTATTATCCAGATTATTGCTTTCCTCTATCATTGCTGTTAATTGGGAATTTTCTGATCTTTCCGTTGGGGTTTTGCTTTTATTTGAAGAACTCAGAACAGCCTGATGGCCACTCATGTGTTTTCCAAACATTTATAGAACTTTTCCTCCTCTCTTTGTTGGCTCTGCAGCCTGTGGGGCACAGAATGTGCCCACCCAAGGGGAGAGTGACCATCCTGAAGAAGATGAGATGCAGGATTGTGAGGACTCTGAGGAAGACTTGAACTGGGAGCTGGAAGATGGGATGGAGAACAGCGTCCCTGCAGAGCAGAAGGCTGAGCTTCCTGTTAAGGAAGACTGGGACAACGAGCTAATTGCTGACCAAGGGAATCCGTACGGTAGGTGTGGTGCTCCCTTGGGCCCTGGAAGAACTGAAACCTAGGGTTTGATTGCCCAGCACTTCCCATGCGTGAGTGTAGGTCTGTGACAACCCCCCCCCCACTTTAGCTGCCCATAATCACAGGGCTTTTCTCTTTTATTTTTTGAAACTTCTTTCAGGTGCTGAAGACATCCACTGTGCCAGCATTCAAGAATTCTGTCTCTGGGCACCTCGGGCCCAGCAAGGAGACATGATCTATGACCCGAGCTGGCACCACCCTGCCCCCCTGACTCCCCACTATTCCAAAATGGTCTTTGAGACGGGGCAGTTTGATGATGCTGAAGACTGAAACTTTGGGATGCTTTCCTGCCTTCTGGGCTGGGCTGGGGTGGGGGGGTCCTCCCCTTGGCCTTCTTCCATTCGTTGCATTCCCTCATTCCCACTTGTGTGATGTGGGACATCACATTGGGAACGGTTTTGGGATGGATCCTGGAAGCTGCTGCATTTTCATAGACTGTTGTGTTTAAGAAGGGAGAGAAACCCTTCGTCTCCCGTTTTCTTTTGGGTTTTGTTGGCACAATCTTGCCTGAAACAAAGGTGGGCACTGTGGCATTAGAGGAGAAGGAGGATCCTGGTGGGAGATTTTTTTTTCTTAAATAAAAGTTGAAAAACCAGAATGCTGCTTTTGTCATTCCCCACCCCCTTTAATTGGCTGCTTCTGAGCCAGCTTGGGTTTGTGGCTTCCTGGTGCCTGCCTCTTTTCACATTTTTTAAAAGAAATCACCCAGTAAAAGTTTGGAGATTTGTTAGCACTGTCTTGTTGCTGTTTATTAAGGAAAACTTAGGGAGATGGGGGTGAGGGGTGGGGTGGGCTGGGCTGGTCTGGGCTGGGCTGGGTGGAGTTTCTGTGAAGCCAGTGACCTGATTTTTGGGTTTCTGCTGCTGAGGTTAATTAGTTAATAGGTTTTTATTGAGAGTGGTATTGATGAAGGTCAGGTTGTGATGGGGTGGGTTGTGTCAAAGACTTTCAAAGACAGGCTGACTCCAAGCCTGTTAGAGAGATTTATTGTGGTTAAGTACAAGAACACACCCATTCAAATATGTGAATTGGATCTGGGGGCAGTGGCTAGCAAAGGGCAGTGGACATGCTGTTCAGTGTGGCCCATAAGGAAGTTAGAATACTGGGGCTGAGGGCAGCTTTATTAGGATTCCATCAGTATGAGAAGGCCTCCTCTCCGCCTCTTAGACTCTTTAGCTTCTTCTCAAACTTGGCTTATGTGCCACCTTCTACATGAAGCCCTTCTGAAGTCCCCTCCCCGTGACACCTTTTATTGTGTTGTATGTATCTTTTCATATTGATATATGTTAGAAGGTGGGCACCTAGCTGGTGAAGTGGGCAGGGTGCTGGGCCTGGAGTCGGAAAGACTCCTCTTCCTGAATTCAGATGTGGCCTCAGACACCTACTAGATCCTGGTTGAAGCCCTGAGTCACAGACCCCGGGTGAGGAGGAGCACTAAAACACCAGAGCTTTCAGAGCCAGCGCCATAGTCACAGTGCAGGGCAGGAGAGAGCGCCTGTGCTTGACAGCAGGGCAGGAGAGTAGTAAACCCGCCTCTCCTTACATCACACCAACTTGGAAGAACTGAAAACTTACCGACTCCCCTGAACTGGAGAAGAACTCCTTAAAAGACAGAATTGGCCAAAAGGAAAAGAACTCGCTAGAATAAATAATTTTGTAAAAATTAGAATTGGGCAAGTGGAAGCTGATGACTTTATAAGACATGTAGAAACAGAACAAAATCGAAGAATGAAAAAATAGAAGAAAATGTGAAATATCTCATTGGAAAAGCAACTGACTTGGAAAATAGGTCTTGGAGAGAGAATTTAAGAATTATTGGACTCCCTGAAAACCTGATTAAAACACAATTAAAAAAAAACCTTAGACATCATCTTTCAAATAATTATTGAGGAAAATTGCGCTGATATCCTAGAACCAGAGGGTAAAATAGAAATGGAAAGAATCCACTGATCACCTCCTGAAACAAACCCCAAATGAAGACTCCCAGGAATATTACAGCCAAATTTTAGCAGCTTTTATATTAAAGGATTGGAGGTTTTGGAATGTGATATTCTGGAGGGCAAAAGAGCTGGGATTACAACTGAGAATTACGTACCCAGCAAAGCCAAGTATAACTCTTAAGAGGGAAAAATGGATATTCAATGAAATAAAGGACTTCAGACATTCCTGATGAAAAGGCTGGAACTGAAAAGAAAATTTGACTTTCAAATGCAAGACTCAAGAAAAGTATTAAAAAAGTAAACAGGAAAGAGAAATCATAAGGGCTTCAATAACATTAAACTGTTGACATTCCTAAATGGGAAAATATTTGCAACTCCCAAAAACTTTATCATTATTAAGGCAGTTAAGAAGAAGTATATGTAGACAAGTGGGCACAGGTGTGGGTTGACCATGATGGGATGATATCTAAAAAAATAAAATTAAGAAGTGAAAAAGGAATGCATTGGGAGAAGGGGAAAAGGAGAGGTGAATTGGGTAAATTATCTCACATAAAAGAGACATGAAAAAGCTTTTACAGTGGAAAGCAAGATAGGGGAGGTGGGCGTGGTGCTTGAACCTTACTCTCATCGGAATTGGCTCAGAGGGAATAACACGTTCAGCTGGGTATAGAAATCCATCTTACAGTATAAGAAAGTAGGAGGGGATGGGGACAAGACAAGGAAGGGGGGATGATAGAAAGGAGGGCAGATTGGGGTGAGGCAGTAGTCAGAAACAAAGCATTTTTGAGGATGGATAGGGTGAAAGGAGAGAGAGTGGGACAAGTGGGAAAAAATATGTTGACAACAAGTTTCTCTGATAAAGGCCTTATTTATAGTTTCTCTGATAAAGGTCTCAAATATATGGAGAACCAAGTCAAATTTATAAGAATACAAGTCATTCTCCAGTTGACAAATAGTCAAAGAATATGAATAGGTAATTTTCAGAGGAAGTAAGCAAAGCTATTGATAGTCACAAGAAAAATGCTCTACATTGCTACTGACTAGAGAAATGCAGATTAAAAAAATTCTGAGGTACCATCTCAAACTTACCAGATTGGCTAATATGACAGAAAAGGAAAATGTTGTGTTGGTGTTGATGTGGGAAAACCTAGACATATGCATTATTGGTGGAGTTGTGAACTGGTTCAACCCTTCTAGAGAGCAATTTGGAACTATTCCCAAAAGGCTAATAAAACCATGCATACTTTTGACCCAGTAATACCATTACTAGGTCTGTGTCCCAAAGAAAAAACAAAAAGGAAAAGGACATATATGTACAAAAATATTTATAGCAGCTCTTTTTGTGGTGGCAAAGAACTGGAAATTGAGGGGATGCCCATTAATTGGGGAATGACTGAACAAATTGTGCTATATGGTTGCAATGGAATACTATTGTGCTGTAAGAAATGATGAGCAGGATGCCCTCAGAAAAACCTCAAAAGATTTATGTGAACTGAATCAAAGTGAGATGAGCAGAGCCAAGAAAACGTACGCAGTAGCAGCAATATTGCGTGATGATCGACTGTGAATGACTTAACCCTTCTTAGCAATGCAATGATCCAAGATGGTTCCAAGGGACTTAGTGATGAAAAATGCTATCTACTTCCAGAGAAAGAACTGATGAAAGCTGAATGCAGATCAAAGCATACTTTTTAAAAACTTTTATTTTTCTTGGTTTTTTTTGAATTTGGTTTGTGTTTTCTTTTATAAGATGACTAATATGAAAATATGTTTTGCAAACTGCACGTGTATAGCCTATATCAAATTGCTTTGATCAAATTTGACTGATTCAGTCGAAGTCCTCAAGCCATACTTGAGGACCTAGGGGCCTCAAGGCCGAAGGTTCCCTACCCCTTAACTCTTATAAGTTGATTAATTTATTCAAAAATGCCTTGTGATTACACTGGAGGCTTTGTGACTTCATTTGAGGAACTCCCTCTCCCATAGGAAACTGATTTAGGAAACTGAATGCATTAGTTTCAAAGCTATCCTGCTGGTTAGTGTCTGCCTTTGAACTTCCTTTTCTTCTCTGTGCCATTTTAAAAGAATACTTCAATGATTGTCTTTTTTTTTTTTTGGCATCACAATCACTAACCCTCTTTCAAATCCCTTCCCCCAAATTTAAAACAAACAATCTACTCCCCCCACATCTTAAGCTCTCTTTTAACAAATATTAATAGTTAAGCAAAACAAATCCAAACATTGGCCATAACTGAGAACATATGTCTGATTCTGCAGCCCTAGTGCGTCACCTCTCTGCCAGGAGGTGGCTAAGGTGTTTATGCCCCCTTTCACTCTGGTGTATCTTGGGTGATCTCTCTAGGCTTCACTCTCTTCACTGTCCAATGGTGGGGTTGGAGCAGGTGACCTCTAACATCTCTTCCAACTCTTAATCCTATAATCCTTTCCCTGCTCTTCCCTGACTTGAGCTGCAAGGGCCAAGTGCCTCGCTAGGTGTTAAGGAGACAAGTCCAGAGGGAAATGATCCCTATTTGCAATGAGCTTGCATTCTGATGGGGACATGAGTTCATATGAAAACATGCTGTTGTTGAATTGTTTGGGTTGACCCTGACCCCGTTTGGGGTTTTCTTGGCAAAGATATTGGAGTGGTTTGTCATTTCCTTCACCAGCTCATTTTACAGATGATGAAACTGAGGTAAACAGGGTTAAGTGACATGCCCAGGGTTTGCACAGCTTGTGAGTATCTGATGTCTTCCAGACACCAGGTCCAGCACTCTGTGCACTATGGTGCCACCTAGCTGAAAACCACGAACAGCATAAATGTAAAATGAGTAGATCCAGACACAGACACACGCATAGACACGTGGTGTAGTTAGGTCCAAGGTTCTGTGGGAGGGCACTGGCTGGGAGGAGGAAGGGCTTCATTCAGAAGATGATGTCTGCCTTGTGTCTGAAGGGAAGGGAGCTCTTATCAGGAGGAGGGTAAGGAGATAATGCAATCCTGGCAGGGGAAATAGCACAGAGATAGTAGATGAGAGTGTGGTCAGTGAGGTTAGGAACAGAGAGAAAGGGCAATTTGTCTGAATGGCTGGTGAGTAGTATCCAACCAGATGGAGTAGGTTGGGGGCAGCCAAACACAGGGATTTGTATTTCATTCTGGGTCAGGCCCTTGATTTTGCAAATAGAGAAACTAAGTCAAAGAACTTGACCATGGTCAGAAAGACCTCCAAGGTTATCCCCATTCAATTCCCTCATTTTACAGGGGAAGAAAATGAGGCTTGTAGTGGGATTAGATTATGCTCAGGGTCCTCTCTTGGATCTGAAGGCAGATCATCTGATTCCAGATTCAATATACTTTCTACTCTACTAGACTAGAAAAGAAAAACCCTTTAATCCCACCCAGGCCTGAGCAGGAGTTTCTTTTCTTTTCTTTTTTTTTTTTTTAAGCTAGGCAGTGGGGTTAAGTGACTTGCCCAGGGTCACACAGCTAGTGAGTGTTGTGTGTCTGAGGCCAGATTTGAACTCAGGTCCTCCTGGCTGCAGGGCCAGTGCTCTATCTACTGTGCCACCTAGCTGCCCCTGGAGTTTCTTTTTTTTTGCAATCACTTTTTGGGCAGTTGCAAGGAGAATATTTTCCTTTTACTTCGAGGAGGCTGTTATAGTTTCAGAAATGGTGTTCAGGAGCCACTTCTCATTAGTTGATATTTATTATGTGGCGGACAAGTTAAAGCCTGTATACTTGCAAAGGCCAAGGCCTGGACTCTGTCAGTGCAGCCACTTTCCCCCAAGC